GAATAGTGAATAAATAAAATAAATATTTTTTTTCCGTGGGATCGATTAGGTACTTATTTTGACCTCTACAAAAGTTGTAGGTTTTTGCATGATCTACAACTTTTGTATTGGATACTTTTTTGTTTGACGTCAACTTTCGCCAGAAATCCCAATGATACAATTTTTCATAACTATTCATCCCCCCAAATCCGCCCCTGGTCACGCATTTATTTTTTTAGGTTTATTATAAGCCCTTTTACCATTTCCACTTATAAAAGTCCAGGTAACATTTTTTTTTCTCCAAGTGTAATTTGGTTGGACTAACAATATATTATAAAGTAAAAATGTTTAAATTTATTACCGATGTTGCAAAATAGCAATAATTGATGAAAAAAAGGCAAAATAATCAAGTGTTTTGGATATTTTTTTTACAATATTTTAATTACTCCGAGGGCATTCTAATTTTGTTAACAAAACTTTAGAGTATAATAAAACAACACACCAAATTTCATTAAAATCGATTCGATAGTTTTCGCAAAATAATTTTTTGAAATAAATTTTTCTAATTTTCAAAATGTTGCACACACCCTCAAATAAAGCATCTAGATACTTGAAAATTATAATTAAATATATTCATATTCAGAGTGTTGAAATATATACGTAAACAAATTTTTCCATTGAAAAAATGCAATAGCATAGGGTAAAATGTACAGTATATTTAATGCATAAATAATAAACTTTGTCCAAAATGCATAGGTTCCAAGATATAAGAAAAAAACTCAGATAAAATAGATATTTTTTAAATATTTTAAACATTTTTGCAATTTTGAAAATGTTCCGGACTTCGCCCAGATCTAGGGATATACACTTTTATTATGTGAATTGTACTGAAGGTATTTCAGCAAAAATTAGCTTGCCCCCTCTTACATCCAAGAAGAGGGATATTTCGACAGATCCGCCCTGATCTGAAAATGACTTCCGTCCCCGCATAAGTTTCACTAATATCAGGTCAGCATCGGAATTTGGCAGCATAGTGGCTGTAGAGGGGCGGAAACAATGGATGGATATTTCTGAATTCGATAACGATTCGATTAAAAAAATAATCAATTTTCTTAGGTATATTGTCGAGAATAGGATGCCGTTTTCTCTGTGTATCAGATTGTCAGTTATTGTTGGAGTACCGCAAGGAACCTGTATTGGACCTTTATTCTAATTTTTTTGTATTATCTTCTAGAACAAGTAAAGACACTATATGACCCTATGTTTAACAGTAATTTATTGATTGGAAATTAAATTTGTTTCTCACCAGACATACTGTTATAGTTTTTGTCACTCTTCCTTTACAAAAATATATAAAATTCTTCACTTCCTTGACGTACTATGCCGTTCTTCCAGAAATATGTGACATTAACAAGTACGTCAATACCAGTAAAATACTGCTTCTTGGAGGTAAATATTTTAACGAGCATATTTTTGTTTATTCATATTTTTATGTACTTAAACTGCCGTGACACTTATTCTAAAAATCAAAATGCGTCATCTCTACGCATACGAGGCCCGTAGCACGCGTCTGTGCCATTTATATATAGTTGATTAAGTAAGAATTTTAATGCCTTTCGCCTTATTAGTGCAGGGATAATAATATAAAATTTACGTGACGTATGTTCGCACCCAAACAATCGCTACATGAAATTATAATTATTTATATTTATTAATTAATTATCAATAATCCAATGCTATATAAATATTGATTTATATATGGAGGACTTGTAGACGGTCAGAAGCTTGTTGCAGAATAAGAAACATTATAGTTGTAAATACAACTGCGCGGGAGATTTATAAGTAATAAAGAAATTTATAATAGTCTGTCATAAACTTGTGAAGGTATTTTAAAACGTTTTTGAATTTTGCACAACTTCTAAAGTCGTTTTCGCATACAAAGTGTAACATGAAGGTGGGCACAAAACTTAAGAACACTTCTGGAAATACAGTGGCATTATATCCCAATCTGTATACATGAAGTGTTGCTTAGTTTTTCCAATGTTTCCAAATTCTTAGATGTAAACTATAATTTATTCTGTTGATATTTTCAGACACATGTAAAACACATTATTTGCATTTAATTTTACAAACAAATTTCTAATTTTTAACCATTAAATCACCTTTTTTTATGTGCGCCAATGGACATCTGACATGACATTTTAAAAATCTCAGCGGAAATCCTAAAACACGCAAAGCAGGCTGCGCATCTTTTACAGTCTGCAGAGTTCCTCCGCAATTCGCCAGCTGTGTGTATAGGCCAGGAAAAAGAGCTAGGAAATGACCATTTCGCGACTTTTTGCTTCGGCAAGCTGAATTTATCACTAGATGCTAAATATTATATACAGTAACAGATTAGTTTCCACAGTCATAAAATAAAAATGGGGGAAGATTGTTTACAGGCTGGTTAATTGTATAATTTTTACGTAAATTCACGTTTTTCGCTTATAGCTTTTTTCCGTTCATTTCCACGAGAAAACAGTAAAGTACCTTTTTTTCATCTTCAAAAGACCTATAGAACTAGCCCTCGAGCGTCAAAAAATATTGATTAGATCAAAAGTTATAAACAGAAGAAGTTTATTTATGACCTGAATTAAACATTTATAAACTGCGTTATTATTACCAGAACGTTTTGGCATCGCATCCTCTCATTCCTTATCACTGTCTAATAATTCACACGAAATCTGGAATCGCTAAGTTGAATAATTTACAAGTCAAAATTCATATCAGTCATATCCGGAAACCCGAGTACTTTCCCAGATAAAAATATTTTATTTGTGGAAGTATCTTAGGTGTATAAGAAATATTGTCAAAAGTCAGTGGGTCGCTTGATTTTTCGGCGAGCCGTGGCGCGGCAGAAGGGTGGGGGAAGCGAACGACAGCGTGTCCGAAGAAAATGACGATAATATTCATAGTCATGCCGTTAAAAAAGCGAAATTCGCTTGAAAATAATATATTTGACAGTCTGTAACTCCGTTGTTTCCATAAGCTTTCCGAATATATAATAATATATAATGTTAGAATCGCATTAAAAATTGTTTATTTTAACTTGACATGTTGGTAATATAGACTGATTTGTAACCAAAGGTTCCTAATGAATGGCAGGGCAACGGGGCCACAGTTTGGGTGAGAAGTGTTGATAGAGTACTGGATAGGGGTTTTAAGGGACAGATAGGTTTTGAGCTGCGTAGTGCGCGGTTGAATGTTATATTTTGTTCCGAGTTGTATTAATATTGTCGGTGATTAAAAACCGTATTGTATTTAATTGACTTGGTTTTATTTGTTTCAATCATTGACTCTAACAATAACTATATCACGCGCGTGCGTCGTATAATTCATTTTGCAACTAAGGCTAAAAAATAAAAAAACTTTCCAGGCTGCAAATTTGAAATTTATAAAAAAAAAATATAGATTTCAATGTATTATTATGAAATCTACCATAAAAAAATCAGTGCGATTGTGGAAGATGCTCGGGATCGTCCAGACTAATAATTAGTTAATTTGTTTATAAGGCCATAACCTAAACTATTCAACTTACCGATTCCAGATTTCGTGTGAGTTATTAGACAGTGATAATGAATGAGAGGATGCGATGCCAAAACGTTCTGGTAATAATAACGAAGTTTATAAATGTCATAAATAAACTTCTTCCGTTTATAACTTTTGATCTAATTAATATTTTTTGACGCTCGAGGGCTAGTTTTGTAGGTCTTTTGAAGAAGAAAAAAAGTACTGTACTGTTTTCTCCTGGAAATGAACGGATAAAAGTTATAAGCGAAAAACGTGAATTTACGTAAAAATTGTACAATTAATCACACAATCTTCCCCCCATTTTTATTACTGTGAAAACTAATGTTATTGTACATAATATTTAGCATCTATAGTGATAAATTCAGCTTGCCGAAATAAAAAGTCGCGTCCAACTCTATATTTCCTGGCCTAGTAATACACAGTTTGGAAAACGTATTCGATAAAATTCAGAATGACTGAAAACGTAAAATACCATTTTACGCACGTGTCATTTATTTTTGTGCTCGCGTTGAGAAAGGTAAAATTAAATGTTTGAGCATAACTGCATTTCGTTTATCGTCTCTTATATTTGATATTCAATTCGCTGTTTAAAATTATTGAAATGAATTTAGGTTTGACGGTTATTTTTACACAATTATTTAGGGTAATAATACTAATACTTTAACTATTTACACGTGGGTAAATGACGTGTGTAAAATAACTGTTGTTTCCCTGAAAACGAAGAATATTAGGACAAAAATTAAAGAGAAATAAAAACCTTGCAATACCATGAGGTGTACATAAAAAAGAACATTGGGGTGGAGAAGTTTGACTACACCTCTGAATTAATTATACGAAATATGTAAATTAAGAATCTTTCAGTATGTGGATGTTTCAAACATTTGCAGTTGCAGAAGTTTGCATATAAAAACTAGTTTATTTTGTTTGTATAAGATTATAAACTATTTTTTAGTACATGTCCTGTCAGAGTGCATTTACATCGCCTTTTGTTTAACGACTTTAACTCGTGTATTGCTTTTCAATTTTCTTCGATTTTAATCAGATTAACTCTTTGTTAAATATTTAAAAGATTTTTTTATAAACCTTTCATAAACACATTAGCTATTGGTAATGTGATTTAAAAATAAGAATGTTTCGTAAGCAACTTTTTGTTGTTAAGTTGACATTCTTTTGACAAAATCATTATTGTTTTATGTTTGTAAAGTTGCTATATGTGGCAATAGACTGTAATATTGCAAACAAATGAAATGATGAAAATCGGAATTGATTTTAGATCGATCATTGGTAAATAGCATGGCAAAGTAGAAATAGTAATTATTAGCTTGTTTTTGTTAGATCATATTTCCTTATACTGGTTATTTTTTATTTATATATTGTTTGGTTTTGAGGGGTAGAAGGAAGCAAACAGAATTTGTTATAAATAAAATTTAAAATTTATTTTTCAACTGAAACAATGCAACAATAACAATTGGATGGAAACACCTAACATTAACAGAAACAAATTCAATCACACTATCCTCGAACATCTTAATGGCCACCCTTCTTGTATCCCCAGTGCTTGTGTCCTTCGTGACCTCCCTTCTTTCCGTGGTGGGATTCGTGGTGGTAGTGGTCGTCATGTCCACCGGCTTCCTTGTGTCCTTTGTCTTCGTGGTGGTGTCCTCCTTTCTCGTGAGAGTGCTTCTTGCCGTAGTGACCATCGTGGTGTCCTCCCTTCTTGTGTCCTCCCTTCTTGTGGCCTCCCTTCTTGTATCCATCTTCGTGGTGGTATCCTCCGTGTTTCTCGTGATGGCCGGAGTCATGGTCTTCATCGTAGAAGTGTTTTTCCTTCTTGTATTCGTCGAGCTTGTGCACGTCATGTCCTCCCTGGGTGTGGTGTCCCTTCTTGTAGGAGCCTTTTTCTCCGTATTGGTGACCTTTGTCTCCCTTTTCGCCTTTGTGGTGTTCGGCGTGGTAGCCATCATCGTGGTGGTGGTGCTTCTTGTGCCCGCCGTGCTCTTCGTAGTGCTTCTGGTGACCTTCCTTGTCGTGGTGTCCCTTTTCTCCTTTCTCATGGTGGTGGTGGCCCTTGTATCCCTTGTCTCCCTTTTCGCCGTGGCTGCCATGGTGGTCGGAGTGGTGCTCATGGCCACCGCCCTTCTTCCATTCGTGTCCGTGACCGGAAGCGGCTGCTTCCAAATCGGCGACGGCTTCACGTTTATCCCTGGAGATTTCACGAGCTTGGGTGAGGGAAACACCAACTAAAGCCACTAAGGCGAGCACAAAAAGCCCCTTGTATGTATTCATATTGAAGTGAATACCAAGATGATTGAACTGATACTGGTTTGTCGGTGGCTGGCCTGGCTTTTATACGGTTCTCGGGCTGTTTTTCTTTTAGCGTTTAGTGAAATGGGAATTCTATCTGTAACATAGCATGTTAACAAATTGTCTATTGCATCCTGTGGTAAAACTTTCACTATTGCCGTTTTTTAGCCAGTGATGTAATCCAAATGGCAGTACTGTCTCACTTTAACAAAATTAATTTATCCAGTTGATTGAGCCGGTGCCGGTGTCGAAGTTTTTCTGACAGTTGCATTATTCTATTTACATAATTTTAAATCGATTCCGTTGGACGGAATTGGGTGACCGCTCAGCAGAGCTGCCTGTATCGAAACCGTAGCGGCCACCAAACCGTGAAAATCGATAGATTTCTTTTGCAACTTCGCCAAAACCATTTGCCGTGCCGTAGTTAGTTGTGATAGTTTAGCACGGAGAGTTGCAGGAATTTTCGGACACGTTTTGTAAGTCCTGTAGCTATAACTTAACATTCTTAGATCGCACTTAGATGTAAGCCGCCTGATATTGTTGCGTTTATGAAAATTGTTAATTTTTGTTAATCTGAGTGACATTTTGTATAATTTGCAACTGTAAAGAACGATTTTAAAAAGAACATAAAAACAGAGTATTGTGTCTAAGAACATTAAACAACTTAACAGAATGATGTTAGTAAAGTAAAAAATTTTTATTTTAAACCTGTCAAAAATGTAGACGCTTTAGTTAACTAAAATGAAAAGAACGTTTGTTCGATAACAAAAAAGTTATTTCCTACAGCTGTTAGGTACTTATTAATTTTGTTGGATTGCTTCAACCATATGACTAATTATTTTTGAAAATTTATTTATTTCATTTGAACACTTTTTACAACTGAAATTAATCAACTATCATTATTTTCTCTGTTCGAAAATTGCAAATTGAGGTTCCCAATATTACAACAGAACAAGTTTATTATAGCATGGAGGCAGAGCAATCTTTTTAAAATCATATCTTGATATGCTCCAATTCCGTTGCAAGAACTATTTTTCGATATTATTCTCAATAGAGTCTGCCCCAAAATCAGCTAAAATGGATGCTGCAATTTCAAATATGGGGCAATTTTTCTTGAGTGGTTATTTATTTTGTTAATACCAGTCACCTATGTGATTTGCACATTTTCCATTAGCCTGAAATGATAAATGTCCTCTAGGTATGTGTCTTGCTGTCAAGAACTTTAATAATAGCCACATAACCTTTATCTTCTATATATCTTGTACTTGTACTTGTATTTAGTAGTTCTTCTCTTCTACAACCTCCGTGAATTGCCATTATTAAGGTAATAAAAAAAATATTAAAAAAAACTAATGGGACCGTAAAAAGACCGCGAATTGCTTTCATTAATAAAATATGTTTATTAGGGTCTTCTTCTATAAATATTTCAATTTTTGCTCTAGTTTTTAGACTTCTTTGGATGAAAGATCCAACCGATTTTCAAATAGAGCACAACTTTTGATAATCTTTGTACACTAATATTTTCTTTATTATTCAATGTACAGAGTGTTTCAAACTCGATAGTATAGGCATACTGTGAAGATTCAAAAAATTTAAATAAAATTTGGGACACGTGGTGTTAAATGGGATGAGGTAACCTCCATTTCCAATCGAAAGTATTATCTTTGGGGTTTGACAGAAACGACTAATGACGTCATCAATTATATTTTTTCCAGAAACATATCCTGTTAAAAAGCTCTTTCTATAATAAACTTTTATTAGAGAAATTTTTCTGTATTGCTTCCCGTTTAAAAGCTTTAAGCAATATCGTCTTAAAGAGTCTCAAAAGAAATACCACCTAAAAATCACATTAGCGGTGAAAGGATCAAGTAGTCGTTGGAAAATAATTGAATGTTCGTCGTTTAAAGTGCATAAGTGTCATTAAGAATAAATAAAAGGATTAAACTCGATAATTCTATGATACAGTTGAAACAAAAGGTGATGATAACAATAACTAAACTTAAAAATTGCTGCAAACGCTTTCGTACTACATACATATTACAATCTATTCTCTATATGACCTCCTCTCATATCAAGACACATATCCAATCTTCACCCGACTTCTTTGTGGGCTGCGTTTATTAACATTTCGCCGTTTAACTCATTACAAGCGTTTGTGATTTTTTCTTTCAAATGATTAATATGTCGCGAAGGTATTTTGTAAACCTTATTTTTTAAAACCCCCCATAAAAAATCAAGAGGGTTTTTAGATCTGGTGACTTTCCGGGCCACTGAATAGGTCCATCAAGCCCAATTCATTTTTATGGGAAAGTGTTATCTAAATATTGCTGCACAATTCTGGCCTTGTGGGGTGGAGCCCCGTCATGCTGAAACCATAAGTTTCTCCTTAGCTGCAAAGGCACATTCTCCAGAAGTGCAGGAAGTTCTTCTTGTAGAAAATTTAGATAACTCACGCTATTCAATGTATGTTCATAAAAATAAGGCCCAATTAAATGCCTACCGATGATACCGCACCATACATTACTCCAAAATGACCTTGGTTTTGGACTGGATTTACAATGTGGGGATCTTCAATGGGCCAATAGTGTTCGTTGCGCCTGTTTGGTGGCAAACCATTACTGACAAACCCACTTTCGTCCGTCCAAAGAACGTGCCGAAAGATAATACTTTCCATTGAAAATGGAGCTTACCTCATCCCATTTAACACTACGTGTCGCAAATTTTATTTAAATTTTTTGTATCCTCACAGTAGGCTATATACTATCGAGTTTGAAACACCCTGTACATTGAATAATAAAGAATATATTAGTGTACAAAGATTCTCGAAAGTTGTGCCATATTTGAAAATCGGTTGGGTCTCTCATCCAAAGAAGTCTAAAAATGTTGAAGATTTCGTTTCACGACGATTCAGAATAAATCAGCATCACATTTTCAGGTGTTTCTTTATTTTTTTTTTAGTATCCCACTTTTTTAAAGCCTTTCATATTGTCTTGCAGGATTTTGGTTAATCAATTGCGATCCTGCACTTTCTGTGTCTTTCAATACCTACTTCAAGAGGCAAATACTGTTGATCACTTGAACAATCCATTTCGCTTTCCACTAAATTCATCTTAATACACGAGTCATGATATTTTAACACTAATATTTTCGTAATATTCACAAAACTTTGACCTGCCGTGTTGAGGATACAGAAAATATGGTGACGGTGACCGAAACCAAGTTGCTATTGATAATATGATCGAAACATATTTCTACTATAAACGTAAAATTAATCTATCATAAATGTCAAAATTTGACTCCCTTTTCCACTAATTTTAATAATATTTCGAAGCAGTTTTCAAAAATATTGTTTGATACCCAGTTGCAAAGGCGGTTTTGTATTATTTTTTACTATAAATTCGATGCTTCGCAACCTACATTATAAAATAATTATTTTTATGGCAGTACGGGCAAGTCATTTAAATGCAGTGCAAATTTTTGGTTGAAATTTTTGCAACTTTGTACATTTTAAACTTCTTAAATCAATAATAGTAATCATATTTGTAATGTTTTAAGGTTAACTGATACAGAAATATTTCTCGAGTTCTGGACGATCTTATGTTGTATTTATTTATGAATTAATATTTATTTTCTAGCTAACTTTAAAAATATTATCTAATGAATCTCTGACAAACATAAAATCAGTATTATTTCAAATGTACTGCTCTAATAAAACGATGGGTAGTTTCCCACTACAATTCATAATAAAACCAGAATAATGAACACAAAATTACATTATAAACACGTCTTTTTAATGAGGTTGCGGGCTCGAATCGTCATGGAATCTAAGGAGAAACATTTACGACTTAAGGCCGGGACACACTTGTCATAAACTATTCCGATCCGACTACGATCATACAGTCGGACGAGTGTCTGAGAGGGAAATGGTACTAGAGTTTGAACAGCGTAGTTCACACCTTTCCGGCACGTGTCCACCCCCACTCATACACGACTCCGTTCATGCATCCGATCGTGGTCCGATCGTGCAGTCTATTCGTTTAACAGATGCAGGACGCGTGTCGTTTGGTATTTATATATTTTTGAGTTTTTCTAAAGAGACATTCTAAAATATTGGTAAAATTTTGTCTCGTCATCCAACAGATGAGGTAAAAGTGTAGAATACTCTCCTTCTGCGGATCTTCTTTTCCAAGCAGGATGTACCCAAAATCTGCGTTTTCCTCTGTTCTCTATGAAATCTCTCCGATTTTCTTCATCTTCCTCTTCTAAACAAAGTACCACTATGGCTAAGTCGCAGTTGTAAAATATTTTGAACATTTTGCGCACAGGACCTTCCGCGATTTTGTTTGAATCGAGACAGGCGAGAGAGGCGAATGTATCGACCCGGAGCTGAAAATCGGAAAGGACTCGGAAGCGTGTAGGACATGTGTGCTCACCCCAGCCGATCCCGCACCGATCCGCTTTTTTGGGGCAACATCGGACCGGAGTCGGATGGGAGTGGTGTATGACAAGTGTTTCCCGGCCTTTAGTGTTTCAAGTTTGCGGATTTCTCCTCAGTTCTAGCAATTTTCTTAGTCAGAATTACATTTTTTGGAAAGGTATCTTGAAATATATGTATGAAACCCTGAGTTTGAAGCATCTTTGGTAAGAATATATGAAATATTCATGGCACATAGGAAGGCTCATACGTTTTCCTGCAAGTGCAAACCTACACGTCACTTTTGGCGGTATTTCCACTTTGATAGCTTTTTTCAGCGTAATTGTCCATATTAATTTAAATAAAGAATATCCTAAACGTATGTGTTCAGTGTTTAAATTTTGTTTAAATTCACTGTAAAGACGTAGTAAACAAAATTGCAAAAACATTTATTTTAGTTATATATCAGTAAAATATTATACAAGGGACAACCTTTGGGTATCAATACATTCATTAAACAAATTCCTGGATAATCAGAACGTCAATATATTCTATGAAAGAAGATTTAC